AAAAATTGATACTATGTGTTCATTATGGTCCATTCTTCCTTGACGAACAAGTACATAAGTGACAACTTAGTCACGCTGCCATGCGACTTCCCCTTCTGACGTCACAAGGAGAATTTCTGTATGCAAATGAGAAGCTAATGAGGAGCCTCATTTTAAAATACACAAAAATAAAGTTGCCGTAGACTGAGTTTAAAACACATTTTTTCACATAAAAAAATAATTCATGCTTAGAAACATAAAAATTAATAATATTTATGTATCAATGGATAATTTTAGGCGTGAAAATAGCAGCCATTTTACAGGCACTTTAAGGGTGTGCCAATGAAAGATGCACAAGAATACGTGATATAATTTGCTTTGGTTGTCATGTGTCACGGCTCACATTCTATCATACATGTAGCAATATCGATGATCGCGCTAGATTTTTATAAGTTGCGTATATTGAATGCAAAAGTCCCAAAAAATGTGTTTCGATAGACCATCTATGCGTACACCCACACACATGACACATGTTCAGTTTTCAGTCATTTTTATTAACAACACTATTTAATACATTACAATGTTGCAAACAAAGTATTTAAAACCACAGTTAGTATTGTTAAAGTATGTTACTTTCACAAATTGCGACAATCTTTTTTCAGAGTTCAAGTGTACAATCTGTCAGTGGACCGGGCACTGGAATCAGCATGAAATCATTCACTTCCTTTAGACGCGATCGTCTAGCACATTTTATTCAATTTTGAGTGCAGAAACCATACTCACATGGTACAATGTACGCTTGTTACTGGAATTACAAGGGAAATTGCTGCTAGTTATGCAAACGCTTGGTATATTTTACTGTAGTCTTTGATTAATAACTTGCTATTCTCGTCAAAATTTGGGTGACCAAATCCCTGTAATGTCAATCCAAAGATTCATGGGTAGATGCTAAACTTTTAAAAAACATGTTTGAAATTGTATCCTATACTATTAATTCGCAGGCCAGAATAAAGTGGATAACTCAGAATATATTGCATGAAAACATTAAAAATATATATTTTGTTTGAGTTTTTATGTTATCAGTACTTGGTGTAGCCGCAATCGCAGATGATCTCCGTCATCACAGCCTTTCAGTTAGCAAGCAGTTTAGGTTCGGTAAAGATTTGACCTGAAAAAAATCATTCCCCCATAACACTACAGATGTTGGGCAAGATTATTACTTAGTCGATAAAAATCCATCGTTCAGCACATCGATTACGAATTTCCGTGACGGAAAGCTTAGTACAGGGCTTTTTCGTCGCTGGTCCACAGGGTTGCATCGACCGTGTGTCCGCCATTATTCTATTATGTCCTATGGTGCATAAATTAACGTTTTTGATTGGTCGGGCGATTGACCTTGTGTCACATTTTCATTATACCAGATTGGGTAAAAAACACGGAGTTAAGCGGTCATGTACGTTCTATAAATCTAACCTTGCACACATAATCTTGTACTGGCATATTTTTTGTCCAAGAAAGACGTTCCTTTTCATTTAACCCCCAGTTAACTCTTCACGTCCATGGTATTTGTGAGAGTTGAAAGATTTTTTGAACAGATGACAAGTAATTATATTGATTTGCGTCAAGCTGGGTGGCCCGAATTTAAATATCAGTGCATGAACTCTGCAGGTCATTGCCCAATGCCGCACATAATTCAAATGCGTGGTTAAAAAAAACTAATTATCATGAAAGCAATACATTACGAAGTTGAAATATTCAGAGCCAGTACAATATTGTAAACAAATTTACGTAATTAGAAAAGCAGTGCACTAAGTAAATGACGTTGATATATTCAAAGCCAGTACAGAGTTGCATGTATATGTGGGACACGAAAGAAAAAGGTTGCTAAGGTAACGCACCAGTTCAGTGCGTGACTTGGGGTCAAACTTGAGATAACACACACTTGATGTCAGCATCGCTGCGCAGCAAGTTTCGCAAAGAAGTACCTGAAGTTCAAGTGCGTCCCAAAATGATGTCACTGATCACTCAGTTGTCGCAGCGTGTGTTGTGTCATGTCCATGATGCACCCCGTTTCGACTTGCTTGCTTTTCCTTCTTAGTGCATGTTCTTGTTCACGTAAAATGCGACCTCTCACCAATGTATTGAAACACTTTGAATTTATACTTTGCATGATTATATTTGGTCAACGCGAAACAATATTTTTTCTAAACATTTTTTGAGATCATTTTTATCAACGCAGGGTTATTTTTCCAGATAAGATGGGCTTCGTAATATCTGCCATAACATCGCCCCGGCGATGCCTAGAAAAATAAAAAAAGGCAGTGCAGCCAGACGGCTACTTTGTAGCCACGTGTTCATTGTTTGTTTGTGTACAGAGTGACCTTTGCCATTTCACTGTTTCATTTCAAGTGTAACATGGTGCGTGGTCCTTGACGCAGTGCGTGTTCTCTGCCCGACTATACGCCATGAATGTTGCTAGCCACGAGTCTCAGAGGCACTAAAAAAACGTCCTGTAATCGTGTTCATTGGAAAACAAAACAAATCACTAATAAATTTATGAAAACAGCATCTTTTTGAATCGAACTAAAAGTACTCTTTAATTCGCGCACCAAAAACCAATTGTTTCCGTTTTTACACTATTAATTCGTGCACTTGAAAAAATAATTTGTTTGCCTTCATAACAAAAGCTTGAAATTTGCAATAGTCAGTGTGCACAGATACCAACTCATGTCAATTTTCTAAATTCTGTAGCCCGTCTGGACTATTTGAAATTTACAAAATAACGACACAATGTTTTTACATTCACTAGTTAGTCCCCGTTCGGACAAAGTCCGAAAACGGGGACTTATAATTCGGTCTCCGTTTGTGCATTCGTCCAGAGTCATATCTCAGAATCCCTTGGACTGATTCTGTTCATTCTTTGCATGTGCCTAGTACTTTATGTGGGACATATGCACATGCAGTGGTTTAGCGATTCGATTCAAAATGGCCGACTGGCAGCCATCTTGTTTTTTGAAAATGTTGTATTTTGGACATGCTTTGTCAGTTGTCATTCAAACTTGGTACATGGATTATACATGTTAGGATACATGCCCATGACGATTTATTTCGCAATTGGATCGAAGATGGTCGACTGGCAGGCATCTTTTTTTTTTTTTTTATGCGGGATCTTGGACGTGCTCTGTCAGTTTTCATTCAAATTTGGCACATACATGTACTTTATACATGTTAGGATGCATGTCCATGACAATTTATTTCAAAATCTCGTCAAGGATGGCCGATTGACAGCCATCTGACTTTTTGGCTTTACTACTATATTTCCACAATTTATGTACCATTTTCATTCATATTTGGCACATACATCATACATATCAGTGTGTTTCACAATCAGATCAAAGATGGCCGAATAACGGCTGTTTTTTTGGGGGGCCATATTACTACTACACGAAACACGTGTTTTGATGTAAATAAACAATCTGTTGTATACGCCACTTGGAACTCAAGTTTCAAGGACACGCTCGCGACAACCCCTCCGCTTTAATATGATGAGCACAAAGAGAATTTCAAAAATTTAACAGGGACTGTGTCATTTTCAATGACTTGTTTCTCTTTAAAATTATGGATGTTTTGAATAAATTGTGCAGGATGGCATTTATTCATTTGCGTTTTGCTACTACTACTACTGCTGAAAGCCTTTACTGGTAGCCAAAAGGAATGGGAAAAAACCCCACAGTGTGTTAATTTAAAGCCCAAAAATACAGGATGGTGTGAAAAGAAATAGATCAAATGAGTAAAAAAAAATAGACTTGTTTTGCAGTACAAGGTGCAGTACTCGCATAATCATTAAAAATCTAATTGAAATTTGTACTGAGAAAAAACCTGTAACTGATTCAATTAAAACAGGGTGCACGCTGCTACGGATATTAAACCCAGAGATAGAAAGAACTCCATTGGTGACATCCTTAACAAAGGTGTAAGCTTTCCATAAAGGTTCAATAAAGATGAAATTGACCCTACTTCCTTTGTATTGTGCAGGAGTTGCCTTAGAAAGCTGTTCACTCTTGTCCTTTAAATGACACATAAGTAGCCTACTTTACTAAATACTATGTGCAGGAAAGTATGAATAAAATGCTAACTGTCTTGATTTGGGTCTCTTCATCAAAATCTTACGAAAAACCCAGATTGCAGATGAGAAATCCTGACAGAAAGTTGACAGTCTTATCTTATTAAAAAAGAGCATCCGGATTATGTCAACATATACAATAAGTGCATGAACAAAAGTAACCCTCATTAAAGAGGAAGGTATTTTCACAAAACGAAAGCGAGTGGGTGGGCTGAGTATAGTCATCAAGACAGGTCCAGGTGGGTGTGATGATGTCATTATGAGGTCAACTGTTTAATATGAATGCAACAGTAGGAATGTTCTCTCTAATTTTCATTTCATTTGGATAATTATTTTAAAACACATTATTAACGATAATGTACTTTTTGAAACACTTAAATAAACTAAATGAATAGAAATAAACCAGTGTGACAATCATATTGACTGTGGTGATGTCCTTCCAGCATGGCAAAACCAGTGTGACAGTCATATTGACTGTGGTAGTGTCATTCCAGCATGGCAAAACCAGTGTGACAGTCATATTGACTGTGGTGGTGTCTTGTCATTCCTGCATGGCAAAACCAGTGTGACAATCATATTGAATGTGGTGGTGTCATTCCAGCATGGCAAAACCAGTGTGACAGTCATATTGACTGTGTGGTGGTGTCTTTCCAGCCTGGCAAAACAACAAATTACTGTAGAGATGAATTTGTTTGTTTGCAATGAAGATGCTTGTTTATTTAACTTATTATTGGTTTATGGCTTATTAAAATAAGTTTACAATTGATCGTTTATTTTACAGAAAATAAAGATTACTGCTGGCCAGTATGACTATAGTATTCAAGATGCTAAAAAAGCAGAGAACAGACCAAGAAATCGTTATAGAGATGTCAGTCCCTGTAAGTATATGT